GTGTGTGTGTGTGTGTGTGTGTGTGTGTGTGTGTGTGTGTGTGTGTGTGTGTGTTTTACCACTTTTTAAATAATTTTTTGTAAGCAGCTGAAGTATAGAAGAAAAATGCATTTGTTTTATGGTTCAACATGATGTCATGCATATTAATGTCAAGCAAGTGTCACTGAGACAAGTGGAGCATGCTGAAGTAAAAAAAAATATGTTTTCGTATGTAAACCAACCCCTACTGCTTCCTTTGCATCTTTCATCCACATGCAAGATGTGTTTTTGGTGAGGAAAAAAAACAAGATTTTTACAAACACTTTCCAACATGGAGGTTTTTTTTTGTCTGATTTGTCAAACTGGAATGTTGAGGTGCGGAGCWGCAAACTTTATCCACTAGTAACCACAACAACAACAACAGAATCCTTTTTTTGTGTGAATGCTTGATAAACATTCACACGGAATTGTTCTTCTATCACCCAACTCAATTGAGATCAGTTTTTCTTGTGTGTTTTTCAGCATCTAACTCGTTCCACAGTTTTTATGCTGACTTTTGGTATTTCAGCAACTTACACGTTTTAGTTATTTAGCTTTTCTTTCCATTTAAAATCTTTAAAAAAATTTTACTCAACTTTTCACATTTTGTTTTGCTTCTGATTTTTTTTTCAACTTCTTTGATCTAATGTCCTGATGCTTCTCAGTAATCCAGGTAGGAAAAATCAAAAAGAAAAAAATAAGTAGGTCCTCTGAATAAGTCAGGTAATGGGGCACATGACCCTCTATGAACAATAGAYCTAATCAAGCCTATTGTTAGGCGATGGCCCTCGCTTGCATATGACTAACCTCTTTGTCCATGTGGAGGCAGTGCTTATAAGGCTGAGTTCACCTGAAACTCATCAGACTGAAGAAGTCTCTTGGAGGAGAGACGAAACGTTTTAGTAAAGAAGAACCCGTCCAGAGGACCTACTTATTTTTTCTTTTTGATTCTTTGATCTAATTTCAACTTTTTCAACTATTCTTCTGTTAATTTAAACTTTTTTAGGCTTCTATCAGCTTCTTTCTGCTAATTTAAACCTTTATGCTTCCTTAAACTAATTTCTGCTCATTTTCGCTGTATTCTGCCTTTTTAGCTATTTTCAGCTAATTTTACATTTTATAAATTTAAATTCACCTTTTTGTGATCGTTTCAGTTTTCAGCTTCTTACTGCTTAATTAAACAAATGTGCCTATTCTGTGTCTTTGTGTTGTTTTCATTTTTTTCAGCTACTTTTTTCACATTTTTCTGCAAATTTTGGCTGCTTTAGATAATTTACAACAAATTGCAACTTTTTTGTTCTCCTTTTCTTGCTTTTCTGCCAATATGAGCTTTTATATGCTCCGTTCACCATCTGTCTACTAGTTTCAACTTGTTTCTGCTACTCTCTACTTTTGTTTTTCCTTCTTTCAGCAATCGTCTGCTGTTCAAATTGAACTCCCGTTAACAGTTTTTCTGTTAAACGTTTTAAGCTTCTTCAACTGCTTTCAGCAAAAATCTTACAGCGTTAAGCACTGCAGGAAATGCAAGTTCTTTAGTTAAAATATTTTTCTACATCTGACTCACGTTGTTCCTTCTCTGTTCTCCTGTGCTGCAAAGGTTAAGAATGGGGAAGAAAATGGTAAATAGTGTCAAAGCAGTAAAAGCTACAGCCACAGTCTGAATGTTTGTCCTGTGGTTTTTGATGTGGCAGGGATGTCGACATTATTGCCACCTACTGGCACAGCATGGGTATTTTAATTGTTTTTGTTCGAGAACAGTTTTMTTATGTTAGTTTTGTTTCTCTTCTTGTCAAATGTAGAAAAAATATTCTATTAATTTGAGCCATTAGCTTTCTACAGTACGTGTGTAACCCTCACTGTGCTTACAAGCAACTCGTGCAATTCCTGCATTTTACACCTAATTATCTCACTTTACTGTCAAGCCTCTAACTTGAAACTCTGTCTTTTTAACTCGGCTAATTGGCAGCAACATTTTAATTCACCCCTCCGATACCCACCCTTCGTGTTAAGTGATGAATTGTTGGTTGGAGATCAAAGGAGATCTGTGCCCACTGCGCTCGTCACTACCTGTTGGCACACATGAGCAGCGGGGCTGGGCTGGTGCCAGGGGGCCACAGGCCTCCACCACAGGGACACACTGCCAGGAGGCAGAGGTCAACAAGAGTGTGTGTGTGTGTGTGTGTGTGTGTGTGTGTGTGTGTGTGTGTGTGTGTGTGTGTGTGTGTGTGTGTGTGTGT